AAGATAGAAGCTCTGGTATTATCAAATATATCTGCTAATTGTAAACTAAATTTCACATGTGAAAGAATGAGGTACAAAATTACTTTTCTTAGGCAGCCTAGCTCTCAGTCGAATGCTGATACTTCCAGAGAGAAGAGATGGCAAGTGCCATTGAGGCTATTGTTCTGCTGAAGTGGATGTTTATTTTAAAATGCCACCATCTGTCTGATTTAGGGTAAACTCCTCCTAATGGGTGCAATGCATATTGTTTGCAACCTTTTCCCTGAAATAAGTTATCTGAGGAGGAGAATGAAAATCCTGGCTCAAATGGTTTTGGAAACTTCTATCAGCTGACCATGTTTTGATTTTGGAATCTTTAGTTGGCTTGGGAACTGTAAACATGACATGTGGCAAGCTTCCCATTTACAACACTCTAGGCACAGGAACAGGCCCTCTGATTGCCCACAAGGGATAAAAAAAGCAGATGGCAGGTGAGTTGGCCCTCATCACTCAGAAGAGCAGTGGTCACAGAACGAAGGCTCCACTTGACAGATTTGGTTTAGTCTGCCAAGGAAGTTATCAGAAAACTCAGAAGGAACAAAGGAGCTAGGGTGGAATGTTACTGGGGGTACTTTCCAAACACATCCCTACAGTGCTAACATTTTTTTTATCATGTAAGTCAAGGGGGTTTTTCAGTCACCTATGAGCCTTCACCACACAGGTTCAATTTTTTTGTCATTTAGCCAAGGCTACCCCAAATAAAAACTCCTTCAATACAGGTTCTCTGCTGGATTGACTGCTCAAAAAGATCCTAAAATTTAAGAGAACAAAAGAAAGGCAAATCCATTCCAAAACTGCTCCCAGTCCTCAGCTTAATAAGAAATATTGCATTTTCTAAACAAAATGGTATGGAAATGCCCACATTTTTAGACTGTATCTCAAATGACACTATTCTAAGGCTGTGAAGTACTAATCATTAGCTGGAGAAGGACAAGAGAGAATAACTACTTTAAACTAACTCCACTGGTTCCTTCAGGTCCAGTGTTTGGGTATCTGTGGTCAATACAAAAAAGCAAGTGCTAGTTCTTTAGAGGACTTATTTATAGAAAGTCTGAACTACAGCATGCCCTTTCTTCATAAAATAGTCATTTGGATACTTAGAAAATGAATGACATTTGGATGAAATGAGCAATTTGGCAATGTTTTACTTAACAATTGTAATTTAAATGCTAGAAACAAAATAAGGACACAGCATTGTCCATATAAATTGGTCTGTGTTGACAAAGAAATTTCCCTTTCTTTGCCAACACTCATTACTGTACCTAATATCACCAGGCTGGAAAAATATCAGAATTCAAAATTCCAAGTATGATTTCTACTGAATGCACATCATTTTCCCACCATCGTAGTGTTGAAAAAAATCATAAATTGTACCATCCAAAGTTGGGAATTATCTACGTTAGCCAACAATTACCCTGAAAACGATGACATAGAAGGAAAAGGAAATACAGGGTGACCCCTAGTTTATTCTCCTGCTAGTCCTTCCTTAATTATCAGTAAACTGGGAGTAGTGATTTAGTACAATATGTGCAAATAAAGAGTGAAATAAAAATAGATAAATTAGTTTTATGCAGTGTTTCCATGGTTCTGGTAAGAACAAAATATACCCATGGATGAGTTATGAAATATAAACTGTAATTTTGGTGATTCTATGAGTTAAGTGTTTTTATATTTGCATATTAAACTGGCACTGCACAATACAAAGAATGATAAAATTAATATTAATATTTTTAATTTTAATTTTTTTAAGTGATATTAAACAAATAAATACCAAAAGCAGTCAAGAGAAAAGCCACAGAAAAATGGAAAACGTTTTATATTTTAGCATCTTTAAAGTCACTTTTCCCTTCTTTTTGAACAAGGGGTGCTACAGTTCCATTCTGTATTTGGACCTACAGGTTATGTAGCCAGATCCCGTTTCAGGTGTGTCCAAACTGTTACTGATCTTCTCAGCCCTTAGGGGGTTTGCAGAGGCTTGGAGTGGCAGCCTCTACACTTCTTTCTCACCTGTGGCCCTGACTCAGGCAGCCTTGATGCTGTACTAAAATTAGAACTTGCAAGGCAGGCCATGAAGTTAAAGGGCTAGGGAAGCTCGGCTTTCTCAGGTACCACCATCTCTGCTGGAAGCTTGCTCTTACATCTGTCACAGGCACCCTGATGGACTTGACCATGCATAAAATCCTTAAAAAAAAAAAACAAACCAACCCAAGTTCAGAGTCCTTGTACTTGCTAGATGTCCTTTGCCTAGAATACTGCCCTGCTCCCTGGGGACAGCTGCTCTCACATCCCTCCAACCTCAGCCTTTTTACTCTCTCCAAAGACGGCTTTTCCCTATGATTTCACAATCCTGACCCCCGCTTCCCCACCCCCCCAGCCACCTTCAGTTGTTTTATAGAACTTCATCAGCTTGTTTGTTTCTCTGTGAAGCACAGGCCCAGAGCCTCATCTGCTTTAGTCCTCATGTACCTGGAACCCCCAGTACTGGGCTCGATATTTCAGGAGTCCACACTGACTACTTGGTCAGTGAATAAATATAAAGAGACACTATTAACACCATGATTACTATTTTTCAAAATTCAAATCTAAGACTTAGTTAGCTCAATGAAGCAACGGATTCCAGATATCGGCTGTTATAGAAACTAGTTTATATTTTGCCAAAGCATGTGAGGATCAGGATGCTTTAACAAAAGATTAAAGGAACAAATTAATTTTAAGTATTTAAATGAACAAAAATACAAAAACATTTCCCCTTCCTCCTACTTCTTATTATATCTTTGGTTTCTGGTCTGAATATTAGCCCTACTGCAGGCATAAATTGATGAATTAGAGTAGTTAAACCCTGACCAGCGTGGCTCAGTTGGTTGAGCATCGACCTGAAAAGTGAAAAGGTTACCAGTTTGATTCCCTGCCAGGGCACATGCCTGGGTTGCAGGCAGGTCCCCTGTTGGAGCCTGTGCGAGAGGCAACTGATGGATGTTTCTCTCTCCCTCTCTTTCTCCCTCCCTTCCCCTCTATCTAAGAAAAAAAAAAAAAAAAGAATAGAAAAGAGTAGTTAAGTGATTGCAAAGTTTTCCTCATTGACTCTATCTCTATAAAAAAATTACATATATTATTTCTTGTTTTAAATTATTTGAATAGCATCAAACTAAACCTTCTTAAGGTATAAGATGAAAGACAAATATTTAAAATTTTTATAATAATCAACATAATAGGTGTTTTACTTTCCTTTTCCTAATTTCTATACTAAGTTGTTCTCAGAGATGTCAACCTGGCTATTTTAGGAGTAATTTTAGAACACAGCATTTACTAACCCACATCAATAGCCCTAACTGGCATTCATATTAGTTGAATGTATTGCTTGAAAAGTTTATAAAGTGATGCTGAATCCTATCCTTTGAACTTCTAAAACTATTGTTTTCCCTAAACCTGATTATTCTGATGTCACCTTAATTCTTATTCGAGGAAGCAGTGTTCAACAAAATAAAAAAGCATGTATTTTATAATGAGAAGCTAGATAGGTCAAGAAGGTGACATGACAAAGATCACAATGGACTTACATAAAACAGAATTTGTGTTTGCAAATGATTTTTTTTTTCTTGCGTTGATCCAACATACTTGACTGAGGAGTGTCCCGCTTATCCTAGTTGACATGCAAACTGACAAGCCAATTGCTGAATAGGTCTTTCTCATTTCTGCCAAGAACCTCTTTTTAACAGCATGTGAAATAAAAATTCCATGTTGAAGGCTGAATCAACATCAGCCATAAGATTAAGTCTAGAATGCTGTAGAAATCACTGCAAAGAATGCCATCTCCAAAACATTCACCACCAGCCTGGACAAAGCATCAGAGAGCACACGCTGAAGGGCATAATGCTGCCCTGGCCCCTGGGGAGGGACCAGATGGGACCTAATAGCTTTTTTTCTACTCCTAATTTCTATGATAATTTCAAGTTGCCACATGGCATATGTATTTTTTTTTTTAAATCTAAAGACAGAATATCAGTCAATGAAGTGACCAGGATTTTAATGAAAGATATTTTTCATATAGTGTTCTTCATATCTATTCACACATGATATTTCTCACCCACCCCTCACCCCCAGTCTCTAGTAACACATCACTGACAGTTAGGTTGGGAGAAGTAGAGAGAACAAGGTCAAATGCAGTATGTTTATAATCGCTATCAATACCAATTAGAAACAAAAAGGTTCTAAGGTTTATTAGGAGGTTAGATGCCTTCTGCAGCAATTTTATGAAGTCACTTTAATTTCTCTTTCTTATAGTCAAAGATCATGCCTGGATTTTAAAATTATAGCATACCAATTAACGTTTCATAAAAATTACAAATGTGAAATTTTTTCTGATTTTTAGAGAAGATTACTAATTAGAGGAGCAGATATTAATGATTTGGAAAAACTAAAAAAGAATTTCTGGTCATTTTTACTGATGAGTTCAAAGGCAACTTAGTTAAGGATGCTTTTCCCTGTCCTCCCAACTAGATGCAATTTCTCCTGCCTCTGACCTCCTAGAGGAGTATTTGTATTTCTCTGGTGGCACTTGCCACATTCTTTGATGTATTTGAGTCATTTCATTTGCTGTTGGTTTCTTATAGGCACTCTGGTGACCCCACTACCAACTGCAACAAACAGGGATGGATGAAGGAGGAGATGGAACTTGGGGAAAAATACTTGAAAAGATATGATATCTCTTGATAGTCGCAGCTTCTTAGCACAAGCTTACATAACTAAATCATGAAAATACACTCTAAGTTTGATGCAACATAGAATTATTGTACATATTAACAAATGGTATGAAAATCACGCTATGTATTTTCAACACGGACTGAAAACAATTTTCTCTTTCCTCTTAAACACATTTATTAATACTTACCTCCCAGGAAAAACTGCCAGGATTCTGGATTCTGGTATGCTTAATAAATTGTATATTTAGCTCAAAAAGATACAAGCTCTGGTAGAGTGGGATGAGGCACTTCACGGCCCTGCTGGCGTTGATGCATGTGGCACATATAAGGCTTGGCAGTAACTTACCATTCACTATGGCTCCATCAAACAGAGGCCCAAAAAATGGAACCTGTTGATTCAAAACAGAAAAACGGTGAATTTTCAAAAACCAGGAAAAGTCAAACCAAAGACATGAGAACAGGCAACTGATGTCTCACACCTGCCATGACCATTAAGGCTGTCCCCCACAGAATAAATGATGACCTTAGCAGGGCAGAAAGAAGGACTGCTCCACAATGCTCCTTGACTATGAACTCTTCAGCAAAACTTCCAATGGCAAACTGTTACCAGGTTATTATTATTTTTAATGTCATTTACAGAAAAGGCATTTTTCTTGTTAAGTGCCTATATTGTGTACATTATGCACAATACAGAGCCCTGCCTCACTGCGTATCTTTGGCCTTGCATCCTTCTGAAGCCAGTTATCGAACTGGCACTATTTCTGCATGGATCCTGATGCATAATAACTCTTAACAGAGATGATTACTATCCCTGATAGCAACTACAAGGTCCTACTTACAGTCCCCATTCTTCTTGAACCTTTTTTCCTCTGCTTCCAAGATACTGCATTATACTCATTCCCACCCACTTTTTTTTATTATTTTTTTTACTTTTTTTTCTTTATTTATTTTTAAATACATTTCTCTCTGCCTCCCCCCCACCACTTTCCCTTCCCCCTCCCTCCTTCCCTCCCTCAGCTCTTCCCCTTTGGTTTTGTCCATGAGTTCTTGCTATATGTTCCTTGACTTTCCCCTTTCCTTCCCTTTCCCTGCCTGCCTCTCCCTCCTTCCCTCTTGTCTCTGTTGGTTTCTTTTCCTTTCAGTGTTGCTGGTCATATTTTCCTTGCATCTTTGCATTGTTGGTTAGGTTCCGCTTATAGGTGAGATCATATGGTATTTGTCTTTCGCCCCCTGGCTTATTTCTCTTAGCATAATGCTCTCCAGTTCCATCCATGCTGTCGCGAAGTTTAGTAGTTCTTTTTTCCTTTCTAATGCGTAGTATTCCATTGTGTATATGTACCATAATTTTTGATCCAATCATCTACTGATGGACACTTAGGTTGCTTCCAACACTTGGCTATTGTAAATTGTGCTGCTATGAACACTGGGGTGCATAGGTTCTTTTGTATTGGTGTTTTGGTGTTCTTAGGGTATAGTCCCAGCAGGGGAATCCCTGGATCAAAAGGCAGTTCCATTATCAGCTTTTTGAGGAAACTCTACACTGCCGTCCACAGTGGCTGTACCAGTCTGCATTCCCACCAACAGTGTACTAGGGTTCCCTTTTCTCCACAGCCTCGCCAGCACCTGTTGTTTGTGGATCTGTTTATGATGGCCATTCTGACCGGTGTGAGGTGGTACCTCATGGTGGTTTTGATCTGCATTTTTCTGATGGCCAGTGATGCTGAGCATCCTTTCAAATGCCTCTGGGTCCTCTGTATGTCCTCCTGGCAAAAGCATCTGCCCAGGTCCTTGGCCCATTTTTTGATTGGATCGTTTGTCTTCTTGGAATGGAGTTGAGTGAGTTCTTTATATATCTTGGAGATCAACCTCTATCTGATGTATCATTAGTGAATATATTTTCCCATAGGGTTGGCTCCCTTTTCATTTTGCTGATGTTTTCTTTAGCCGTGCAGAAGCTTCTTATTTTGATGAGGTCCCACTTGTTTATTCTTTCCTTTATGTCCCTTGCTTTAGGAGACATATCAGTGAAAAATTTGCTGCGTGGGATATCTGAGAGTTTCCTGCCAATGTTCTCCTCTAGGACTTTGATGGTGTGGTGACTTTTATTTAAGTCTTTTATCCATCTTCAGTTTATTTTTGTGTATGGTGTCAGCTGATGATCGAATTTCAATTTTTTGCATGTACCCGTCCAGCTCTCCCACCACCATTTGTTGAAGAGGCTGTTATTGCTCCATTTTATGCTTCTGCCCCCTTTGTCGAATATTAGATGCCCATACAGACCTAGGCTTATTTCTGGGCTTTTTATTCTGTTCTATTTCCACTGGTCTATGGGTCTGTTCTTGTGCCAGTACCAAATTGTTTTGAGTATAGTGGCTTTGTAGTAGAGTTTGATGTCCAGTATTGTGATCCCTCCTACTTTGTCTTTCTTCCTCAATATTGCTGTGGCTATTCGGGGTCGTTTATGGTTCCATATAAATTTTTGAAATGTCTGTTCTATTTCTGTGAAATACGTCATTGGTCTCTTAATAGGGATTGCGTTGAATCTATAAATTGCTTTGGGTAGTATGGACATTTTGATGATATTAATTCTTCCAATCCATGAGCACGGTATATGCTTCCATTTATTTGTGTCTTCCTTAATTTCTTTTTTCAATGTTATATAGTTTTCTGCATACAGGTCTTTTACGTCTTTGGTTAAATTTATGCCTAGGTACTTTATTTTTCTTCTTGCTATATCGAATGGTATTTTTTCTCTGATTTCTTCTTCTATTGCATTGCTGGTGTACAAAAATGCCTTTGATTTCTGAATGTTGACTTTGTATCCTGCTGTTTTGCCAAATTCACTTATAAGGTTGAGGAGTTTTTTGGTAGAGTCTACAGGGTTCTTTATGTACACTATCATGTCATCTGCAAACAATGATAGCTTTACTTCCTCCTTACCATTTGGATGCCTTTTATCTCTTTCTCTTGTCTGACCGCTGTGGCTAGGACTTCCAATACGATGTTGAAAAGAAGCGGTGAGAGCGGACATCCTTGGCGTGTTCCCGATCTTAGTGGGAAAGCTTTCAGTTTTTGTCCGTTGAGTATGATATTGGCTGTAGGTTTTTCATATATGGCCTTTATTATGTTGAGGAATGCCCCATGTATTTCCATTTTGCTGAGTGTTTTGATCATAAATGGGTGCTGTACCTTATCGAATGCTTTTTCTGCCTCTACCGAGATGATCATTTGGTTTTTGTCTTTTATTTATGTGATGTATCACGTTTACTGATTTGCGTATATTGAACCATCCCTGCATCCCTGGGATGAATCCCACTTGATCGTGGTGGATACTCTTTTGAATGTATTGCTGGATGCGGTTTGCCAATATTTTGTTGAGGATTTTAGCATCTATTTTCATCAGCAAAATTGGCCTGTAGTTTTCTTTCTTTCTAGGGTCTTTATCTGGTTTTGGGATTAGGGTGATGCTGGCCTCATAGAAAGAGTCTGGGAGTCTTCCCTCCTCTTGGATTTTTTGGAATAGTCTGAGAAGGACAGGGGTTAGCTCTTCCTTAAATGTTTTGCAAAATTCTCCTGTGAAACTGTCCGGCCCTGGGCTTTTGTGTGCTGGGAGTTTCTTGATTACTGCTTCAATTTCCCCAGCTGTTATTGGTCTGTTCAAGCTTTCTGTTTCTTCCTCCATCAGTGTTGGAAGATTATACTTTTCTAAAAATTTGTCCATTTCATCAAGATTTTCAAATTTCTTGGCATATAATTGTTCATAATAGTTTCTGATGATCATTTGTATTTCTGTGGTATCAGTTGTTATTTCTCCGCTTTCGTTTCCGATATTATTAATTTGGGTCCTCTCCCTTTTTTTCTTGACGAGTCTGCTTAAAGGCTTGTCAATTTTATTTATCTTTTCAAAGAACCAGCTTCTGGATTGGTTGATCCTCTGAATTGTTCTTTTTGTTTGTATGTCATTCAGTTCTGCTCTGATCTTGACTATTTCCTTCCTCCTACTTGCTCTGGGATTTATTTGTTGTTCTTTCTCCAGTCTTGAAGTTGTAGTGTTAGGTCTTTTATTTGAAATGTTTCTGTCTTTTTTAGGTAAGCCTGTATTGCTATGAAATTCCCTCTCAGGACTGCCTTTGCTGTGTTCCATAGGTTTTGGACTGTTGTCTGTTCATTTTCATTTGTTTCCAGCAATTTTTTGATTTCTTCTCTTATCTCATTATTGACCCATTCATTGTTTAATAGTGTACTGTTCAGTCTCCATGAGTTTGCAAGTTTTTGAAGTTTCTCTTTGAGGTTGATTTCGAGTTTCAAGGCCTTGTGGTCTGAGAAAAAGTTTGGTATTATTTCAATTTTCCTGAATTTGCTGAGGGTTGCTTTGTGTCCTATCATGTGGTCTATCTTTGAAAAACTGCCATGAGCATTTGAAAAGAATGTGTATTTTTCTTCTTTGGCCATCTACTTTTTTTAACAGAGGCGCAGGTTTCCTTCACTGTGTGAGCAACCCATAAGGTTCTGATGCCTGTCTTTTTTTGATTTCTTTCTTCCCTCTCACTTCTTTTTTCCCATGAAAATTTCTTTGACTTGACTTCATTCACTAATATGGAGACTGTCAGCTCCATGAGGTCATGGATTGGGTCTGACTTCTAACTCTTGTATTTATTCACTCTCACACTTTCTTATTCATTTATTCAATAATTTACATTACAGACACTATTCTATTCACTGGGACACAGCAATATATAAAAAATTCCTCATTACTGGGCTTAGAATTTATTGGAGGTTTCAGAGAATAGCATAAATACATAAAATATATGAAGGTGCAAGGTGAAAAATAAAGCAGGGAAGAGCAGTAGGACTCTTTCTGAAGGGCTAAGTCCCCCAATTTTAGATCACATGGCCAGGGAGAGCTGTAAGGAGAAGATGATATTTCAGTAAAGACTTCACAGAAACGGGGAATGAACCTGAAGCTATAAGGTCATCCAATAGAAGAGCATTCCTGGCAGAGGAACAGCAAATACAACAGCCCTGTGGTGGCAGTGGAATTAGTATGTTTAAGAAGCAGCAAGGAAACCACGGTGACTGGAATTGAGTGAGCAAGAAAAAGTATAAAAGCAGATAAAGTAGGATAGGTAATAGGAGGGGCCTTGTAGAAAATTTTAAGGATTCTGTATTTCTGCTCTGAGAAGATGAAAGCCTTCTGGGTGGTTTAGGGAAGTGGGGGACATGATTTAACCTATAATTTAAAGGTAGTGTCTGGGTGCTATGTTGGGAAAGTTATGGACACCAGTTGGGAAACTACTGAATAATTCAGGTAAGAGATGATGATGGCTTGAATCATTATGTAGCAGAAGAAGTTAGAAGAAGTCGTTGGTTTCTGCATACAGTTTGAATG